ACAAATTTGATTCTACAACTTTACCATAACTACTTCGCGATAGATACCATACTGGATTGTCATTAGTTAGCATTAAAATATATAGTTACTGAGAAAACTATAAGACCATAAACGGTTTTACTCGTCATCCACTAATACTATTAATACATCATATTTGAAATGAGTCATTTTTCGTGTATAACAGTTACCACCATTTTGTATCATTTTTTGTAGTGACGTTACTACGACAAATTTATTTTGTTTTTGCATAATTATCAGTTTGTTCACGTCATAAATTATGTTTTGGATAAATGCTACGTACACGATTATAATTGTGCACATCATGAGTAAACAATAGGTAGTTTTTTATTCACGGTGTCAGAAATGCGTAGATTAAAGCAACTTATCGGACTTATCGGAAACAATTTTTATATGTCTAAGTGGAATTCTTGTGATATGACACAAAACGAATTAAACCAAAATGATAGGAGGAAGATAAATTTTATTGATGAGTAGTGATTCTAATTTATGCGACACGCAATTCAGCAATCATTTGTTAGTTCCAGGTTTTAATGTCAGTTTTTTGAGTTTCTATTTTAGACACTATAATTTTCAGAATCGATGATGCTGAACCCAATCTATTGCTTTAAACAAGGTTGTAACGACTGTAAATAAGTTTATCTTCAATCCATGCATCATCAGTTTATTTTAAATCAACTTAAATTGTCAAACTGATATAAGATACCCATAAATAACAAGACACGTATGCGTCCAAAGGTACAATAAAAAATTTGTTGAAGAGTGCTCGCATTCATAGTTCTGAACTTTTTAACATAGCTTATTAGATGGATTGAAATCCAATTCAAACACTTCAAATTTTAGTTGTAGATTTTTTTTCAACAAAACTCTAAAATATTTATAAAACTGCTTGTTAAGATTATGTTACTTCTTCCATAATTGTTAACGGTATTGAGGCAATTTTTTATTTATTTTTTTCAAACTTCCTCCAGAAAGACTTTTTGATAACTAGCACCTTCAAAATACGATACGTGCAGAAAAATAATATTTTCCAAGATATTTAAGATAGAATTATAGTAAAGACGGTCAGAATCAACAATCGCTATTTATTAATGTCACTAGACTGAAGAAGGAAGATGGAAATTTATAAATGAAATTCAAAGTTTATCACCATTTTATGCAGAATACCGAATATTCTTTACTAAATTGTGCAGTTATGGATTGACATCTTGGGAAATTTCTCATATAAAGTGCGTTGCTTAAGGACCACCTGTTAACACTATTATTATCTATAAAAATTGGTCTAAAGAGTTTAGACAGCACTTCCCTCGCTGTCGGAAACATGACGACTGCATGCCTATTGTGTTTTTTTTCTCATTACATTTTTGTAGTGGGAATTTAAAAAAAAATTGCGATGACGTCATCAACATTTTTGCAAGGACACGTATATCAGTTGGGATAGATGTAGTGTAATACTAAGAATAAAATTATTATATTCTCAAATTTTCGGGAAAATGAATTGGGTCGTTTGAATATTGATTTGTAATAATCAGTAAAATAACGAAACAATTTACTCACGTATACCTACGTATCAGATGCAACTAAAAATCGTGTATGTATAAACATTGTTAATTTAAGATGACAGGCGTAACAGCATACGTGAGAGCCAAACACAGAAACTGTAAACAAAACGACCGTCGGTTTTATTGCTTCGACTTCCGCTTATTATATAAAACATTGGGTTTTATTTTAATTCTTGACGGTGAAATTCACAATTGGTTGATTATAAACATGTCTATTTCGCATTCGCGGAACCAAGTGACCGCATAAAACAAATGCAGATCTGTAACGTTAAAGTCGATGTAAATAAGCGTGCTACACTTATGTTTCAACCGAGTTTTTCCTTTAACAAATTTTGTGTCTACCAAATTGGGTTGGTTGGGGTGTAATACTAATAATAAGTGTTGCCTTTAATTTAATCAATAAAATAAATTGACTTCATTAATTTTTTTGAACCACCTCTTAAGAAAATCTAAAAAATATGAATGGAATGATAAATCACAAGTACAAACTCATCATATTTTTTGCATTTTAGATAGGATTTATTCAGCAAAATTTAAGGGTGACGTCATCAATTTTTTTAGGAGGGATGAACAAATACATTTTGAACAAAAGTTTACCATGCTTATAATAACTTTAAAATATTCCCAAGATTTCAAAGCATTCGGTTTTGTAATTCCTGATTAAATCGATAAAATAAATTCACGCCTTCATTAATTTTTTTCAGTCACCCTGCATATGCAAATCCAAAAATATGAATGGAATGATAAATCACAAGTACAGACTCATCATATTTTGTACATTTTAGATGCGATTTATTCGGAAAACTTTTGAGCTGACGTCATCAGTTTTTTATAGAAGATAACCAAATATATTTTGACTAAAAATTTATTATGCTCTTTATAACCTTAAAACATCTGCAAGATTTCAAAGCATTCGGTTTTGTAGTTCCTGATTAAATCAATAAAATAAATTTACGCATTCATTAATTTTTTTGAGTCACTCTGTATATGCAAATCCAAAAAATATGAATGGAGTGATAAATGACAAGTACAGGCTCATCATATTTTGTACATTTTAGATATGATTTATTCGGCAAACTTTCGAGCTGACGTCATCAAGTTTTTGGAGGGGATAAGCAAATATATTTTGACTAAACATTTATTATGCTCTTTATGACCTTAAAACATCTGCAAGATTTCAGAGCATTCGGTTTTGTAGTTCCTGATTAAATCAATAAAATATATTTACGCATTCATTAATTTTTTTGAGTCACCCTGTATATGCAAATCCAAAAAATATTAATGGAGTGATAGTTCACAAGTACAGACTCATCATATTTTGTACATTTTAGATATGATTTATTCCACAAACTTTTGAGCTGACGTCATCAAGTTTTTTTAGGGGATAAGCAAATATTTTTTGACTAAAGATTTATGATGCTCTTTATAGCCTTAAAACATCTGCAACATTTCAAAGCATTCTGGTTAGCAGATTAAAAATTAAATTTCAAAATGTTGTTTTATAATTTTGATTTTTTTTCCAAAAATCTGGACGTTTCGGGTGAAAAGTCGATTCAGAGTTGTAAACTACATGTGTAGGACTATGTTATTTTATACAATTGAAAACCCATTTACTATGTACAATTTTGAAGTGACGTCATCGCTTTAGTGGTGGGGATGATTCGACAAATTTTGGTTAGCGTTTTACCATCTACATGATATTCTTAATATAAGTACAAAATTTCACAACAATCGGTCGAGTACTTTCGGAGATTATCTGTCTAATAAAAATCCGTGACAACAGACGGACAGACGGACAGACGGACAGACGGACAGACGGACGGACAGACGGACAGACGGACAGACAGACGGAAATGGGAGACCTATTTCTTCGTCTTCTAGGGGTCATGAAAGATCGAGAAAACGTAAAAGTAGAGAGTCGGCCGACGGACTCGATTACAATACTTCCTTTGCTTACGCTCGGGAAGTAAAAATGTTATTCACATGAGAAGCATCACAAGACTAACGTTATTCGTTGCAATATTTATCGTTAAAAACTTTCAGTAAAGAATGAATCGAAGTGACTATTAATATATTTGTGATATTTTTTGTCATCTTGACAACATATTTAAAATTTTATGATGGCATACCTGATTGTCAAACATTAAGTCAATAACTGCCATCTTCTTAACACGTTTATTAGGCGTACTTATGTCAAAATGCCAATTAGGGACTGACACACTAGCATTGCTGTCAACGTGTCAGCAATCCAGAATTACCAACATACAATTTGCTTCAGTCATTAAAAGTCACGCGGTGGTGACATTCACAGTTTTCATAAAGAGCAGTGTTAAAAATCAAAAACCTTATATATTTAATATCTGTATTATTAGTACCAAATATGGTAGCAATACTGTATAGTATTATTAATTCTAAAATGTAAAACGCGGTGTTGTTTTATTGAACTGGAAATAAAATGTGTACATATAGGAAAAATTTGTTGAAAGAAACTGTTATTCTTGATTGTATATACAATGTAAAACAGAGTAGCTTTGCTTAAATGTTCTATACCTATCAGTTTCTAAAAACGTCCTTTTTGTTTTGCATTGTATATATTTGTGGAAAACATTAACTGTTTCAACGAAAAAATGTGTGCGAAATCAGAATACAGAAATATCTTAGCGGGCTATAGAATAATCTCTAGAAATTTCGAAATCAACTTATAAATATTTTTAATTATTTTTTCTACTTCGCCTTGATAGCTGAGTAAACACAGAAGTAAAACTAAAACACGATGGACTGAACCTATCAAATTCGTAATTATGTTGGTTGCCTGCAGGAGATCATGTCAGCACTAGATAAAATTGTCGTAGTAATGGATAACGCTCCTTATCATTCCATGGTGGTTGACAAATTACCTAATTCAAACTCTTCAAAATTAATTATACAGAAATGTCTGAAGGACCAAAACATTAATTTTGACATTTCAGTGAAGAAAAAAGATCTTTGGAACTTTGCGAAAGCGTACCTAGACGACGCCAAGCAAAGGGAAAAATATGAAATTAATGAAATCTTAGCAAGGAAAAATTATAATGTATTGCGTTTACCCCCATACCATTGTCAATACAATCCAATTGAAATGGTGTGGGGGTTTTGCAAATCATATTATAACAAACATGTTCGTGCACGAACTCCCACCAAAGGCAGAGTGTCTAATTTGTGGAAAGAAGCCTTGGGCCGTTATACGCAAGATATGTGGATGAAAAGTGTTAGGTACTGTGAAGATCTCATTAAGGCTGATTGGAAAAAACTAAAGGGGGATTTTTCTGTTGACGATATGCCACTATTTATTATATAGGTATAGTATTTCCACCGATAGATTAGCTGACAGAAAAGTCACCAAATAGACCGCTATAAAAAGTAGTGCTAAAGGCGCTTTATTTGAAATATAAGGAGATTTGCAAATAATGTTGAACTAGGTAAAATTACTTTTAATAATAACACAATTTATTTCCAACATTCAATATTATCTATACTGGAACATACACTTCGAATAACATTACATACTTTATATTGAAGTAACAACCTCTGTAGGGCATCTTAAATTAAAATTTTCCTTCTTGAAAAATGAATACGCATTGGCATTCATTTTCTGTGCCACGATGTTGTCAACAACAGTCATACTGCACGGGGTTGAAGAGGGCTACAAAATATAATGGTCTATAATGATTGCACAGAATAAATCAACAACTCACTCTTGCGTAATTATGAATTTTCTTCGTAATGTCTTCCATGGGGTCCATATGAAACGTTTTTTGACACAAACAACTTAACCTAAAATGTCCAAACTTCAGCCACTATACAAAAAACAGCACAGAGGTCTATAATATCATACCTAACAAATCAAAACAAGTAAAAAAACACAAACACTAAACGCAAAAAACACACTTTTTAACTTTTTGAACCAAAATTTTAAATTAACGTCAATTAGCTGATCGACCAAAACACAGGTTAAACGAAACCGGCCGACTGGCGCAGGCATAGAGGCGTAGGAAATTCGTTGCGCGGGAAAAGGAACGTTGGTTGCCAACTTAAACTACAACTCTTTAACTGCTTTAAGCGTATAATGTTAGTATATTTTGGATTCTCCGGTTGGCGATTGTGAATTCAAAATTTTCCAATCTATCGCTGGAAATAGTATACTTGGCTGATTCTGACTCTGACGAATTTTTTGTTAGTAATGATTCGGAAAATAACTTAAGGTGATGTTATCGGTTTAGTTTTCAGTGAATTTACAGTAGATTTTGTTTCACAAATACTAGACAACTAGTTGGAATCTGAACTAAATTTTTTTTTTACAATATCTTTGATATGCTATTAGTGTCCGGAACTTATAAAATTGGAGAAAAAATGACCTGTTTTGCTCTAATAAAATCGCAAATATGCTCAAAATCACACTAATATTAGGTCCGACTGTGCCGATCATAGTTATAAAATTCACATTAAAGTAAGTCATGGACATTCTTTGAAGTGTTTACTATGATATTTCAAAAAGAAAAAAAAAATTTTGATTCATAAAACTTCATAATTTTGATTTAAAACTGATCATGTTTGAAGCTTTATTTTATCCGTTCCATTTGCTGTCTCTTACTGCGGTCTCTCTCGGATCGGGGTATAACACCCACCGAACGTTCTTGGAACGATGGGATAATTTATTACTTCAGACATCTTTTCGGTGACAAATTTAATCTTTGCATAAATTTACTTCAGTGTAGTTAGCGAACTCGTGACCACTGAAATATATAAAGAGTATATTTTGAAATAGGACGAAAGTCGAAGATTCCACTTTCAAAGCCACGAAAAAGTGGAAAAAACTTTTATCAGAATTATTATGTCAAAAACCTACTAAAACTACAGACAAAAAATGCAGTTTAATCATAATTTGATTAGTTTTACTATTATTATGCTTTTATTCCCTAATTTCTGTACATATAAATATTACTGTTTTTTAGACCCGCCGCTGTTTTTATACACTTACATAAAGTGTAAGCCAATGTTTCTAATATAAATTTTATTATTGTTACTTTATATAATCACCAATCCTATTGCTTCTCGGCTTTTTGTCAAAGATCAAAGTGTATTACCTGAAAGAATTTTATTTTGTTGAATAAAAGATTACCATAAACCTTATAATTAGCCGGATAACCATTCAGTATACACAGGTAGTTTCTATACCACTTTAGTTTGAACATAGCCGATACTAACCAGCTAGGGAACCAGTTATAATTGAAATATGTAAACCAAATAATTGAAGTACTTAGTTTTAAGTAAAACAATTGGGTATATTTATAAATACGCATAAATAAAAACGAAACAAATTATTAGTCTCTAGTTTATTTTATAATTTGCATTACATCATGACATATAGGTACGTACTGATGCAGAAATTGGTGATTTTCTCGTTGCATTTCAGTATAGAGACACACTCAGTAGAGCCATTTGGACACTTAAAATTGATTTTGTTTTACTTGCCACAAATCTTTTTAAGTGTTGCGAAAGTGATTGTTGTGTGTCCGAAAAATAACTGCATTTATAATTATTCGGCTGAGTGCTTTTTTTGTTGTAAATCAATCAGTTTCCCAATTAGATTATAATTGCTTGGACTTACTATTTGTTGTCTTAATTTTTCGATGTTCATTTTTGTACATATTCAGATTTTTATTTGTTATTAATTTCTTGTGGTCTTTTTTCGTATATGAAAATTGAACTGTTGACGAACGAAAATCGAACAATAATACACGACAAGCGGGTGCCGAACTGTTACCAGAGATTATGGGTGTCATAAATTACACCCCAGCTTTCCTGAGTTTCAACCAGCCTACCACTACTTCTCGTCTTTATTTTTCTACACGCAAACTTCTTGTGAAGGCAATAACACGGCAAAATTAAAAATCCGCCAGTTTTCTTTTAGCAAACGTCCCCTTAAATGCTAAATCAAAAGTACAAAATTATGGAAACAAGAGCAGTTTTTAAGCGACATCCTAATGCATCTGTTAGAAATGTTGTCATGAAAATTTAATCGTTCGAAATTTGTAGCAAAAAAGTGAAACGAAAAAATACACCATTTTGTTAAGATTTGACTCTACAATAGTGGATGAAACATACGACAAAGCAGATTTTTAACATGGTCTTTCTTCGCAAACGAGGGGTTTAGAAAAACTAAAATTATAAAACCACCATTTCTGAGGGCTAAACGAAACTCTATAAGCAGCTCTACAACGTCAATGTATCTACATAAAAAAAAGTAATATCCTAGAGCAGCTCAGCTGCCATTAAGTCAGTTATGATCATTTTTATTTTCAACTCACTCTCAGTTACACCAATAGTAATAAATAATCTACATCTGAACAAGCAGCGTACTCGTTAAAATAGTAAATAGTTGGAGAAATATGTTTACCTAGTACATAAAACACGACAGATGTTGTCAGATTATTAACTACATTTTTGTAAGTGCAGAGTGTAATATCTGTTTTAAAAAGCTACACGAACCGATACTCGTATCAAGCGGTGGCACTTTAAAACATCAAAAAAACAATAGTTCATTTGCGATAAAATATACGCGATAAAAGTCCTGCGGTTATCAGGAGCTTGATATTTGACTGCAACCAATATTTCCATTTTATTATAATAAAACAATGCAGTGAAACAATATTACTATAATCCGGTACACACGAAAATATATATAGCCGGAGAGATATAAAGCAGCCATAGGACGACATAAAGGTGTTAACTTCTGTTAAATAATGTTTATTACCCGTCTATTGTCTACTTACGTATAACATTTGCACAGGAACGAAATGAGCATGAGTCAAGCGAAACGGTATTGAAAATAGGGCCAGATGGAAAATACCGATGCGTTTTCCAATATTATCTACTGTATTATTTATCTACGTGCCAACACAAGTTCAATATTACAACTTCATTATGTTTATCGTGTGCAGAAACGATTCGACAAAAAATCGAGAAAATTGATTTCACACTTTGGAGTAACTGCATCTGACATGTCACTCATGTTGAAAACGGTTTCCTGCCCCAAAAATAATAATTGTTCACGAAAATGATTAGAACAGCGATATTGATGATGAAATTTTTGACTTTTAAATACATGTTATCTAGTTATCTCACCAAGTTTTAATTTCCGTTCGAGTTTCCATCATTTTGAAAAAGTTTTAGCAAATGATCAACGTTTCTATACGAAGCTAATGGTTTATTTGTACGCAAAACATTAATAAAATGGTACTTCTCGGAAACTTTAACATTCTTAAAATTAGTACCCCTAAGAATTTTGAAAACGCTTGTGAACTTTATCAGTACAAGGCTGTTCTCAATTAATAAATAAAGATTAAGGTTTAATTTTAGATGTGGTCACATCTAATCAAATTCTAGAGGCAAGTATGTGTGTGATAAATCAAAATTCTTTTCATCCGGCTTCAGAATATAATTGGCCACCTTTAAGGAAAAGATCTGCTTTAGTGGTATAGTAAATTATAACTTTGTCTACAATTTCGTTCTATTACATACTAAGTACATTTCTATCAAGCAACAATGTCAGTCTTTCAACATTAATTTAAATTTTTTTCGACAAAAAATTTTGTAAACTTAGTAGACCTCTAATAAAGTTCCTGACCAATTTGTAAATCTAAAAATATTCTAATATATCTCAATTAGTTATGAACACAATTTTGCAAAGATTACTGAGTACGTTCTTCAACGTGTTATCCGTCCGCATATTTCTGATGTAAACATCAAACACAAAACACATAATATCTGAAGTGTTAGATCAAGATGGCAGACCGACTGTATCTACAGAGACTTTTCAAAAACTTTGGGTTACACACCATAATGTACGTACCTGTAACTTACGAAACTCAAGACGTTTGGTTTATCTGATTTCGTTGATAGATAACTCTTACATAATAAATGGATCGTAGTAAGTGTGTTTAAATAGTTTTAACACTTTATTATTATTCTTGTATTAAAATTTCTAGCATTCTCCAGTGTGTCGCATGGATTCATTGTTTTTTGATATATTTCTTAAAAATATAATTAATGGCCTGACTGCTGTTTGTTTAATAATTTTACACGATACGACGATCTTAGATTACCTGCCAGTCAGATTTAATAATCCAGATATTAGGTGTTATATTTTGCAAACAAAAGATAACAAATTTTCAAGTAAAAATGCTTCAATAATGTCACTCCAAGAATTTTTAACGAAACAAGTATTTATTTTAATTCAACTGGAAAAAAGCAGTAACTAACTGACATAAAGGTGAATTCATATACAAAATTATACAATAATTTGATGCACATTAGCCGACACTTCCTAAATTCAGTTTTAGAAGTCAAAAATTTTACCTGTTTTACACAGCCTATGTGAACCTGTAGAGAGAATTAATATCTACAGATGGACGTCGTCTACATCGATTTCTCTAAAGAGTTACACACCGATCATGATACACTGTTGAAAAAGTTAAATGCATGTGGATATTCCCTGAACTACTTCAGTGACTTTATTTCTTATGAATTTGTGTCAAAATCTAGAATTCCTCGAAGATTCAATCTAGACGCATTGTTGTTAGCTATCTTCATTAATGATTTGTTGATTAGCGACTTGGTACTACATAAATAAGCTCAGAATCAATCAAGATAAATGTTTGCTATGTCGTACACAACAAAATTATATTTGACTGATTGATGTTCAAATCTGTGAATGTAAAATATTCAACCACAGCAATGTCACTAAAACTCTAAAAAGCGTTTATTTTTAGTAAATTAGGATGTGTTCCTGCATTTTTGTTTAAAATTTAAAAGCAGGGAATTAATAAATGACGTTCTATTTATAGTAAACTTATTAGAAACAAGATTGAAAATCAGAAAATTGAGAAAAGAAGGGATCACGTTTTTCTGCATGTTTTATTTAGCTACACCAAGAAGAAATATATTTAAAAATCCTGGTATTAGCTGCTTATTTTGTTAACTAATAAGTATATTATTATTTATGATGACGGTTTTTACTTTAAAAAATACAGTAATTTCAATTCGCCTACGTTGTATTTTAATTATAATCGATTTTTTTTCTTCCCGAGCGTATGCTAAGAAGGTACTGTACTAACGTTCATCAGAGCAATGCCTACTTTCATGTTTTCTCAACGTTTCACGATGCTCACATACGAAAAATAGCTCTCGCGTCTCTTGTCTGTTGGTCATTTGTCGTGTTCTATTTTATTAAACAGTTAATCTTCGAAACTACCGGACCGATTGTTTTCAAATTTTATGAGTGTTAGGGATATCGTGTAGAACTGTAGATGGTAAAACGCTAACAAGAATTTGTCTCCTCATCCCCACCAACAATCTGATGACATCACCTCAAAATTTTACTTTATAAATACCATTTAAATTTTAAAATAGCATCTTCCTCGACTTGTGGTTTAGAAATGCGCCTTGAGTTTTAAACCTGAAAATCTGAAAAATAAAAAAGTTAAATAATATTTCTGCCATATACTTTTTCCGTTGCTTTTTTAAAGCAGTGAAGTATTGTAATAGGACTCATCGGACGAATGACTACTTTGATCTTTTCTGGACGTTTCGTGACCCCCTAGAATATGAAAAAATAAGTCTCCCGTTATTGTCAAATTTTATATGTATATCCCGTCTGACTTTCCGTCTCATTATTAATACAATTAATAATAATAATAATAATAATAATTCTCATTGGTGCGCACATATTTCAGTAGCATTTAAAGTCTTCACCTCGGAAGTTAAGATCACCAATGTATGCTAGGAATATCGTGTAGATTGTAAAATGTTAACAACAATTGGTCGTCTCCACGAACAAATTTAACGTCGCGTCGGCTCAAATTTTTCCATAGGAAATGGTATTTAAATTATAAAATAACACAATATCATGCTTTTGTACTTGTGGTTTATGAATCCGACTTGAATTTTAATCACAATTCTTTTTAAAACATTTGTGCAATTCTTGGAACGAGTTTCAAATAATTGATATCTCGCACACGTACGACACAAGTAGGTCGACACCGGGTGATTTAAGGCGTTGAATATGACCAACTTCAACCCTTTGTGCGTGAATTTGATTTCATCCTCGTCGACATTTTTTTTATTGCTTGGCAATTTGCATTTTTTTTTTTGTAAACTGGTACTGGTAAAGACAGATCACAGTTCCCATTTTATTATAAAATTTTAACATTATCAAAATATTAGAAACTAATAGGGAAAAATCGAGTTTTTTTCTTACTGTAAACTACCCACTAACATAAACAAGTTATTATTAATTTAACCGAATATGACAGCGTAGCTGACACGGATTGAAAATAAATTTTGATTCATTTATTCATTTTTTAATTTTACTGCTAAAACGGCAGTAATTTTCACCAAAGTGGATGCTGTATGTTTGCATTAAATTTATTAGTAACTTACTAAGTAAACAATGTTTATTTTAGGGGAGATCCAGACAAAGCCGACCTCTTCGGAAACACAGCATTGCATTTAGCAGCAGCACAGGGTCACAAACACATCGTCACTTTTCTAGTCAATTTTGGAGCAAATATTTATTCAACGGATATAGATGGTCGCACAGCACAGGAATTAGCCGGTATGAACAATCGCGACGACATTCTCAGGTTCTTAGATGGTGTTCATGCAAAACTAGAAGCAGGAGATAAGAAAAAAACCAAAACACTTAGAGATAAAGCCAAAAAAGACTCGGAAAAATGTATCAAAGTAAAACCCTTAAAAATACAAGTGAATAATTAATACTAAACCTGATTTCGCTTTAGAAATTCAACAAACGACAAGTGAAAAAAGAAAAAGACCAAGAAAAATTAGAACAACGGAAGATTAAAGCACCAAGGCCGTCAGTGATAGAAACTTTAAAGACTAGGATTAAAAGTGGGTCTATGACAAATTTAGCTAATCTGGGGCCCGCACCACCTAGGAACTCGTTCAGTGCCATCGTGGGTAATGGAACGGTTTCAGGGGCCAGAAATATGGGATCAGTGCAAAGAAGAATTCTTGCGGGACGGACGAGTCGTGCTACATTTGACGATGACTTTAAGGTTAGTCTTTTTGTGTCTTTGTTGTTAAATTATGCATAACATCTAATGCAGATTAGTGAAATCGAGGATGGTCAACGTTCAGTACGATCACTCAAAGGATACCGACGAGATTCTGAGGTACTCTATGCTGGCACCATTGACTCAAAGGCAGGTCAGCGCCTTGAATCGGTGTTCAATAAAGATGAGTACATTGTTGAATCACCACCACCGCCGCCAAGTAATGGCTTAACAAGGTCTATTTCTCAGCCCGATTTTATGCACGAGCTGGAAACGAATGGCGACAAAATGCACCAAGAACCAGCGAGTATATTTGTTAGACCTGGTATTGGAAGTCTAGCCTTTAGGTAACAACTAATAAATTATACTTACATCATTACAACTAAATCCTTCTGCAGGAAAAGTATAACAAACACATTCCAAGGCTTCTATGGCGGCGATGGTACAAACGAAGAGAGTTCTATAGGTTCAGGAGAAAGTTATGGCCTTAGAACAAACAACCTCTCTACCGAAGATGAATTGTCAGGTATATCACATTGAATAAAATAATAGGTGTTAAAACTAATGAACAAACTCTTTTAGAATCAGAGTCCAGCGAAGATGAGAATCCAAATGGGCCTCTGGAACGGTTTCTGACAGCTTTCGGATTAGGAGAATATCTACCACGATTCGAAGAACAAAAAATAGATTTAGTTACCTTAATGATGCTTTCAGAGAACGATCTTAAAACTCTTGGCTTGCCACTAGGGCCACACATAAGGCTCGTTAAGGCAATTAATGATCGAAAAGCGGCCCTTGAAAATCCTGGTGAAGTTGTTGACAGTATGTTGTAAATATTTCGGGCTTGTTGTTTGCGTCTACTATAAGTATTATTGGCCTACTTTTGTGTTGATGTGGCACTTTTGTATAAAATATTTAATTTTGTGCCAGTATTCATTAGGTATACATAAGTAAGACTACACAACGGTACCTCTACAAAATATACTTATTTATGAATTTGTATTTAAATTTATGATAAATAAATGTATATAATATGACCCAATACAAATCTTGACTTTTATTGATATAAAAAATTACTGTTATGGCTAGAGAAAGTTTCAAAGATAATTTAATAACTCACTGTCATCAAAGAATAAATATTTATAAAAAAGAAATCTAAAATTTGCGATTGTTCACAAACTCAATTTAAAACTTATCAAATTATTCAAAGGTTACTACAACGCTATACAACTATCCACACAAATTTAAAGAAAAACTGGAAACAAATACATGATTAAAAATGAATTATTAAAAAAATGATGCTTTTTCATAATAAACTCTTCAAAAACAAATTTCAAAATATTTTTTGTATGATAATAAAGTACTCCTACAATATAAGCAGGTCAACAAGTGCACAATTTACAAAAAAAAATTATATCTACTGACATCACTATTAGATAATAAAATTTCCACTAAAAAAAACCTAGAAGATATCACAGACGTAAAGGAGTAAAACAAAACTCTGCAAAATTAGGTACTACTACAAATAAAGTACTATTTGATTTTTTTTTTTATTTTTTTTTTACAAACAACATTTATTTTGTGTTTGTCTCAAATATGCCTTAACATTAACACGCACCAAAAATGAAGTTTAAGGAAACAATAACAACGCATTAGTGTATTATGGAATCTGTTTTAAAAAGTACTTACCCACTATCGTTTAAAAAACGAAAGTTGTTTTCAATTTTAATGGAACCGGAAATGCTATTACACAATCTGCTTTTATTCTATTTTAGAACCATAATCTTATTTATAAGCACCCAAATGCGGGCTTAAATTGACCTTTTTAGCACAAATCTGTCAAAAATTGCTAAGCAACAATTGATTGTTCATTTACTCTAATCAATTAATTATTCAAACACGCTTCGATATTCAACGTTTTTCTTAAGTTGGAAAAACAATATTTTATCAAATCATTACCTGACCGACTTCAAATTCTTCTAAACTTTCGTTTGAATAAACGTTTTCCGCTTCTTTAATTTACATTTTGAAAAACGAATTATCAAATAATCAACGTGGTATCCATAACAACATCAAAATAATAGCCAGCTATGTATTAAAATTCGCATCGGCACAATTCACACAGTCTTGCCGAAAATACTCAATATTTCGTTAAAAATAGTTTATAAACTAAAATAGAATAAAACGTTGTATGTACCACGTGCATAATTGTCGATTGTGGCACTCAGGAAATTAAAAGCCCTCCTTCGTCGGGCTTTAAACATTCCCTCGTGCCACAATCTCCCTGATTATGCCCTTAATACATAAATAACTATTAATGTTTCAAATATATTTGTTTTATATATTCTCGATATACATGATTTCTGACTGAGTCACCCTATTATCGTAGCCAGTTAAATTATTATTATTTATTATTAACAAAATATTCTTCTGTACAATTTTTGTACCACTTTCGCGGTTTACCGAGAACTTTTAAAAAGTAGGCCATTAACCCTATTGAGACAAGGCCATAATAAAAATGGTTTCTGGTATTTTAAGAACAAATCTGAAATTTTCCAGTTCAGAAAGTTATGACACTATTTATTTATCTATCATTAGCATCCATACTATTTAAAGAAAATTTAAGAACTAGTCATATAATGTATAAAACACGGTTTTAGAACTTAAATGTTTGTAAAGAAAAATATATAAATACAGGGTTAGTCATGAGAGAATTACCACAGCATAGATATCAATCAGTAGAGACGGCTCGCCGTTTTTCGTGACCCGTTTTCGTGGGTGGTCGTTCGCTTTATGACCGAATGAGGGCGCCCAACTGACGTCTAAAATATTTGAAATTTGGCAGTTTTGTTACAATATTTTTGCCGGTTTTGCTTGTTTAAGACTGCTTTTCCAGTAGAATTGTACAAATAGTATAAAAATGTAATTTTCACAATAAAAGGTAAAATCTTTGTCCGATGAATTTTCATACAGGATCCCTGTTGTGCGCCTTATTCTCTCCCTCGTGTTTGGAATTCTTGGAAAAGATAGTAAACATAACACACTTTTTGTTTAAAAAGTCGTCGCAAACGAACAACAACGGTGGTTATGAAATAAATATAAAAAATTTATTATACATATATGATTCCGTTGTTGTGGTAAAATTAAATATAAAAATAATAAGAAACAAACTACACGTAACAAAAAATTATATAAGCAGACCTTCACTCAATAAACAATTTTTTTATTCATCATGTATATATATATTTTTTTTTACCTACACAATCTTGAGTTTTATTTTGAGACGTTGCTTAACCCATAAGCAGTCGCACGTGGGTAAAAATGACCCAAGCCGTACATTTTGTCAAATATCTTTTTTCGCTTAATTCCTATGGACTTCCGGTTTCATGATTTTCTTAATTATTCTTACCTGCGTCGACCCATACCAATTACCTGCACTTTATGCGAGTCGATAAATATGTATTTTTTTTTTGTAATAATTTTTTTTAAATAAAAATTTTACTTTATATGATATTACGCTTACGGGTTAAGTCGTTAGGTAAAATGCGTTTTTTTCGTAAAATTTTTGAAATTATTAAACAATTTAACAGGTGCTGTTCTTATTTTTATATTTATTCTTGTTTAAAGTAATTACCATAATTACAATATCATGCCTGTCTGTTTATTTCTCTACTTTTTTTTAGCTTTCTACATATATAAATAAGATGGATACTTTCTTTAATAACTAAAAGAGTCTATTCTCGAAAAATATTTAGTCCTCATAAAATACTCCTTTACCTACGGTCCATTACAAAGTGTACCATTTCCGGATTAAATTTACAAATGCCAAAGGTGAAAAAATTAATAGAAAAAAAATAATTTGACAGCATTAACTTTTTTCCTTTTTGTAATTTAATTTTTATTTTATTTATTTATTTATTTTTTCTTAAATAAACCTCTTTCTTTTTAGATGTATTTATTACATTATTTTTACAATGATAATTAAACCTCAAGTATTCAGGGAAAGAATGTGCGAATTGTCAAATTGTATAAGTAATAAAATAAAAACTGTAACAAATCATCGTGTTTATAATTTAAATATCGACTTTTTTTTTCTTATTGCGATTCACGATTATACGATTTGAGCAAACTACACAGTTTGCAATATTGCGTACACGAATCAATTTTTGAAATTGTAAATGAAGTGATACTTTTTAAATTGGGTGGCGACATCTAGGAATAGTTTAGGCAACGACCATCCATGACGGCTTAAAATTCGGGTCAGAAAGAACAAAGGCGCCGACACGAGCTGTCTCTACTGATTGATATCTATGCTGTGGAATTACTTCTGAAAATTATTTTTACGCAACCCAAAATACGAATACCATGTACCATTTGATACTAACTGAATTTAAAATGAAATGCTTAATCCATGATTGCTTTGAGTTTGGCAATCTCATTTTGACAATTGTGGAAAATGAGGTTACGCGAATGTCCATGGTGGTACCGCAGCCAGTCGGAAATCTCCTCCGGAGCCGCTAATAAATTTGTCAGTGTGCCTCTTGATCTTTTACAACCGATTAATCACGAGAAAATTATTTCTAAAAATTCCTTTTACGGCATTTTATTCAAAGGTCACAACACAAACTCAAACAAGTAAGTAAATAATTTAACTACTAATCTGTTGAAAATGTTGGGTATTTTGGGGGGATGCTACGGCTTTTTTGTAAATGGATGGCCGAAGAAGTCCAGAGGTTGCAGATTTGCACTTCGAAGAGGCTCTAGGTGACGCAGAGATGGCGAATTAACACATGCACATTAGCGGCGAACAACATTGTTAGAGCACTTACGGCTTCATAGCCCAGATTGATCTGATTGTATGTCGTCGATCCAATGGGGCTCTAGAGGCGAGTCAACGATGGAAAAAAATGTTAAAAATTAATTAACGTCAAAGTGACACTGCCAAAGTCAAAGCAATCATGGATTAGGCATTTCATTATAAAATATCTGGTTGACCGAGCTTCACTCGGCTCGTTTGGTAGTATTAGATCAGATTAGGACAGATAAATATGCGTATAGTATGCATTTTGAAGTAGACGCGCTAATTAAAAATACACATTAAAAAAGAAATTCCATAAGCAGTCTTTGTTTTAAACAGTAATAAGTGACATGTAGAGATTAAAGAACAGAAAACTGGAATTATTGTTTGACATTTATTACAATCTCATTTGTTACCCAAGTTTTCTCTCTGTCGTTCTTTTTTTTTCCTAGTTCTCTCTCTCGACTCTAGAAAAAGGTCACAACTACATTCTTACTGCCAGAAGAGTTTCGCCTCTGGTGTGGTTATCATACTGAGTTACCGTGCTCTTTTGCGTTATTCCTAATTTCTCAATCTCAACCCTGCTCCCGAAGATGCCACTTACGAAAGTGTGCGAAACGTTGAGCCCAAAAACTCAAATAACACGGTCCCATCCCGGAAAACGATCACACATTGACTCCGACCGTGAAACCTCTGAAATGAATGCTTGACAAAATAATCTCAATTCAACGCACTTTCGTGTGCCTTTTATCCGCTCACTCTTTAGTTTTCGGTAAATTTTCTCACCTCAGAAGGTGAATTTTAACGTCCTCTATACAGTGGAGTATGTTTCGGTACGTACAACTGAAGATAAAAAGGTACGTCAAACGTACTGTCAGACTGTCACCCAAACTTCTCTTATAAAACAATCTCGTGTTCGTGTAGTGTCATCTGAAGTTGCCTAGCAACAAATATAATTCACTGCCTGAAAATTGCTGAAAATGCATGAAGCTGTAATTTTCAAAAGTTAAAACTATGATCAATCGTTTTTTTTGACCCAAAAAACCCCTAACCTGTAAATTTCATCGAAATCGTTAGAGCCGTTTTCGAGAAACCCATTACATATATATATATATACGTCAATAATAACTTTTGGCCTCGCGCCAGATTTAGGCAACAAGTAATGGGAGAATATGAAAACCACATCCTAGCCTCAAACCTGTCATATCAGTGTTCAAATTTGTATTTATGGTTGCATCATTTACAACAAGCGAATGCTTGACACGTTTTAAAGTAGGTAAATATTTGGAGTTATAGTTTAAACTGTTTTCGAGTAAAAGAAAGAAAAAGTGGTATGAATCAGTTTATTCAGAAATAATTTTTTGGAATTAAAACAGCCACATAGAGGCTGAAGAAATTAAGATAATCAAAGAGAAAAGAAAACAACTTAAAACTAGGAAAGCTTACTTCGTAGTAAGTGCAATTATATTCTATGAACATTTAATACTACTATAAAACACCAAAGTAGATTATTCATATTTATTATGAAGTTAGAGATTGCAATTATTAACAAAGTTGACAACGTATGGATAAAGTTAAATATATATCTTTTAGTCAAAAGAGGTGTCTGCATAATTTGTTACAGTGTGTTTGCAGGTATATTTGTACAATGCAGCAGCTGCTGCATTCACTATCCAAATGTAATGTATAAATAATGATTTGTCTGGTGTATGGTGCAGTCTTAAAATTAGGTATTTTTACTATATTTCAATTGGATAAATATTTTTACACATATTTGTAAATTCTCGTGCTTTGCCAGTTTTAGACGTTGGAATTTTAATTATTAGCGTATCGTTTTTGTCTTGAATGCCGTCATTATTTTTCAATTTATCCATTCCACATGCTCCTACAACTTCTAATAAAAAATAAACCTAAAACATAATGATTTATAGACAATGTGATTGACCTTGTTTGAGATCACCTTTAACATCGGGTACATTTAATCACGGGCTTCTGTTAAAAATTTTGGTAAGTCTTCTCTTGTAAATATATTTGATTTCTTGGCAATGTAACCTATATTTTTTGCTTGAAAACTTGGTGTACTTAGATATATCTATGCTGTTTTTTATTAACAGAGTTGACTTTAACTACGACTATGCAGCCCAAAGTGTTAAAGATTTCACAGAATTTGCTTTTTCAGCGAAATACTCGTATGCAATGAGGTGTTCTCCATATATTTTGCATGGTTGTTTCTGCGCAAAAAAAAAATTCATACCGCTTTTCATAAACTGTGGCTGAGTTTTTAGGTAATAAATTTGATATATTATCTGCCAGTTTTTGCAAGTTCGGTCGAATGCATGTAAACTGCTTGTTATTATTGCTATCCATCTCTATTTTGCAATTGCTACAAATCTTTCTGCAAGCAAAAATATTAAAAGTGCCGAAAAATAAGAGGTATGCTTCATACTTTCATTTAAAATGGGCATGTAAGCTAATAATCTGTTCTGTAATAATAATAAAAGCTTATTATAGGTTATGTAGATACAAGAAAATTGTTCAAATTCTTCCATTCCGCATACTCCTACAACTTCGAATAAAAAATATACCTAAAACATTATGTTTTATAGACAATGTGATTGACCTTCTTTGAGATTACCTTTGACATTAGGTACATTAATCACGGGCCTCTGTTAAAAATTTTCGTAAGTTTTCTCTTGTAAATATATTTGATTTCTGGGAAACATAACCTATATTTTTTGCTTGAGAACTTGGTGTACTTAGATTATATCTATGCTGTTTTATATTAACAGAGTTGACTTTAACAACGACTATGTAGCCCAAAATGTTGATTTCACAGAATTTTCTTTTTCAGCGAAATACTCGTATGCAAAATGAGATATTCTCCATATAATGTTTTCCATGGTTGTTTCTGCACCGAACAAAAACTTATTACAGGTTATGTGGATACACATTGTTCGCTGCCATAGAATGTCGCTGCACTTCAAGAAATCCGCTGTTGCCAAGCAAGGTTGCGACGTTGCGAGATTACGCGCAAATTTAGTTAATAAATTATATTTATAAAATTAATAAACCGGATGTCTTTCTAATAACTAATAAAAAGGGTTAACAAAGAGTATAGAATTACTGCTACATGAATTTCACTGGCTTGTGTTGAAATTTCGGGTTTCCAATTTTAAATTTATTAATCTAGTACTTCGTTCCATAAACAAAATTGTGCCCGGAATGATGGGTTAATTAGCTGTTTTCACATATACGAAGCGCACGAGTCCGAAAGTTACCTAACATGCAATTATGAGGCTAAATCTTGCTATGGATGAAAACTATTATTTGAATTAAAGTAACTTTTGGCATCACAGTCTTTAGATCTTTTTTCATAGGTATTTTACACTTAACAACATCATTATGAATTTATTTCTTAGATTTATTTCTCAATCCACCAATATTTGTCTTAACCTCATAGAAAATGTTTCGTCTTATGGAAAAAATCTGAATCTTTACACTTAGGGGTGTGCCTGAATATATAGCACCGAATATTGCCTCACATGAATTTTACTGCCTCGATTTGACCAAATCTTGGGTTTCCGATTTTAGATTTAATCATGTACCTAGTTCTTTAAGATATGTTAGCACATGAGTCCGAAATTATGAGGCCAAAAGTTTCTATGGATGAAAGCCATTATTTGATTTAAAGTAACTTTTGGCATCACATTCTTTAGATTTTTTTAATAGTTACTTCACAATTAATAACAAAATTTTGACTTTTTCTTTTAGGTTTATTTCTCTTATCTGTTATTAAAATAACTGCTATTAAGTTAATTTTAGCCTGGGTTGTAAGTTTGAAAGTTGTTTTCTACGATTCTGTGAGGCCAAAGTCTACAAAAGATGAAAATAATTTTAGGCCAGATAGTTCAACACTCAGCCAATTATTTATTTTTATTTATACTATTTTCGTGTGGTATAGCAAGAATAATGGTCAAAAATCAAGTATTTTAGGATCAAAAAACGGCAGATCAAATTCCTGATAATATTAACACTAATAAGTCTAAAAATTTAACCAAATATTGACTTTTTTAAAGTGTTATAAGTTTACTGACGAGGTGGCTGAGAAAGGGGATGAACACTGAAACTGGTATCACCAAAATAGTATAAATAAAAATAAATAATTGGTTGATTGCAAAACTAACTAACCCAACTTTGTACCCGCGCTAATATGGAAACACACATATCAAAATAATTAGCTCATTTATAGCAACTTTCGAACTCTCGTATTTTATATTTGTCTAAGTAGCAAGTACTTAAAAAATTTAAATTATCACTTTAACTTTGAATAAAAAAATATTTTTATGAATGCGTCTACAGATTCTTCTACCATTCACAGTCTAATTTTGTACTAACTTCATACAAAATGTTTCGTATTATGGAAAAAATCTGAATATTTACACTTGGGGGTGTACCTGAATATATAGCACCGAATATTGATTCACATGAATTTTACTGCCTCGATTTGACCAAATTTTGGGTTTCCGATTTTAGATTTATTCATGTACCTTGTACTTTAATGTATGTTAGCACATGTGTCCGAAAGTTATTCGTCATGTAATTATGAGGCCAAAAGTTTCTATGGATGAAAGCCATTATTTGATTTAAAGTAACTTTTGGCATCACAATCTTTAGATTTTTTTAATAGTTACTTCATAATTAATAACACAATTATGACTTTTTCTTGTAGGTTTATTTCTCTTATTTGTTTTTAAAATAACTGCTATTAAGTTAATTTTAGCTTGGGTTGTAAGTTTGAAAGTTGTTCTCTACGATTCTGTGAGGCCAAAGTCTACAAAAGATGAAAATAATTTTAGGTTAGATAGTTCAACATTCAGCCAATGATTTATTTTTATTTATACTATTTTCGTGTGGTATAGCAAGAATAACGGTCAAAAATCAAGTATTTTAGGATCAAAAAACGGCAGATCAAATTCCTGATAATATTAACACTAATAAGTCTAAAAATTTAACCAAATATTGACTTTTTTAAAGTGTTATAGGTTTACTGACGAGGTGGCTGAGGAAGGGGATGAACCCTGAAACTGGTATCACCAAAATAGTATAAATAAAAATAAATAATTGGTTGATTGGAGAACTACATAACCCAACGTTATACCCACGCTAATATGGAAACAAACATATCAAAATAATTGGCTCATTAATAGCAACTCTGGACCTGTCGTCCTTTATATTTGGCTAAGTAGCAAGTATTTAAAAAATGTAAATTATCACTTTAACTTTGAATAAAAAATATTTTTATGAATGCGTCTACAGATACTTCTACCATCCACAGTCTAATTTTGTTTTAACTCCATACAAAATGTTTCGTATTATGGAAAAAATCTGAATCTTTACACTTGGGGGTGTGCCTGAATATATAGCACCGAATATTGATTCACATGAATTTTACTGCCTCGATTTGACCAAATTTTGGGTTTCCGATTTTAGATTTATTCATGTACCTTGTATTTTAATGTATGTTAGCACATAAGTCCGAAAGTTATTCGTCATGTAATTATGAGGCCAAAAGTTTCTATGGATGAAAGCCATTATTTGATTTAAAGTAACTTTTGGCATCACAATCTTTAGATTTTTTTAATAGTTACTTCATAATTAATAACACAATTATGACTTTTTCTTGTAGGTTTATTTCTCTTATTTGTTATTAAAATAACTGCTATTAAGTTAATTTTAGCTTGGGTTGTATGTTTGAAAGTTGTTCTCTACGATTCTGTGAGGCCAAAGTCTACAAAAGATGAAAATAATTTTAGGTTAGATAGTTCACCACTCTGCCAATTATTTATTTTTATTTATACTATTTTCGTGTGGTATAGCAAGAATAATGGTCAAAAATCAAGTATTTTAGGATCAAAAGACAGCACATCAATTTCCAGATAATATTAACACTAATAAGTCTAAAAATCTAACCAAATATTGACTTTTTTAAAGTGTTATAAGTAGACAGCGGATTTCTGTCGGGCTACGTCACGATTTTAGTGGGGACGCGCTGCATCGCCGGGACTCAGTAGCGGGTCATAGGTAATCACTGCATTTAATTGTCACTTGATTCCATAAATACAATTAACGATTTATTAATCAAACGGCTAACTAAATGAGAACTGGAATTAACAGCAGAGTGCAACGAAGCAGCGTTATTCTAATCTCAAATAAACGAAGTGCAGCCGGTAACTGCAATGAATTCCCAACCCGTACGAGCCGTACCGAGTTTGGCCTTGTCTAGCCCGACAGAAATCCGCTCTCTAGTTATAAGGTTACTGACGAGGTGGCTGAGAAAGGGGATGAACCCTGAAACTGGTATCACCAAAATAGTATAAATAAAAATAAATAATTGGTTGATTGCAGAACTACCTAACCCAACTTTATACCCGCGCTAATATGGAAACACACATATCAAAATAATTAGCTCATTTATAGCAACTTTCGAACTCTCGTATTTTATATTTGTCTAAGTAGCAAGTACTTAAAAAATTTAAATTATCACTTTAACTTTGAATAAAAAAATATTTTTATGAATGCGTCTACAGATTCTTCTACCATTCACAGTCTAATTTTGTACTAACTTCATACAAAATGTTTCGTATTATGGAAAAAATCTGAATCTTTACACTTGGGGGTGTGCCTGAATATATAGCACCGAATATTGATTCACATGAATTTTACAGCCTCGATTTGACCAAATTTTGGGTTTCCGATTTTAGATTCATTCATGTACCTTGTACTTTAATGTATGTTAGCACATGAGTCCGAAAGTTATTCGTCATGTAATTATGAGGCCAAAAGTTTCTATGGATGAAAGCCATTATTTGATTTAAAGTAACTTTTGGCATCACAATCTTTAGATTTTTTTAATAGTTACTTCATAATTAATCACACAATTATGACTTTTTCTTGTAGGTTTATTTCTCTTATTTGTTATTAAAATAACTGCTGTTAAGTTAATTTTAGCTTGGGTTGTAAATTTGAAAGTTGTTCTCTACGATTCTGTGAGGCCAAAGTCTACAAAAGATGAAAATAATTTTAGGTTAGATAGTTCACCACTCTGCCAATTATTTATTTTTATTTATACTATTTTCGTGTGGTATAGCAAGAATAATGGTCAACAATCAAGTATTTTAGGCTCAAAAAACGGCAGATCAAATTCCTGATAATATTAACACTAATAAGTCTAAAAATTTAACCAAATATTGACTTTTTAAAGTGTTATAGGTTTACTGACGAGGTGGCTGAGGAAGGGGATGAACCCTGAAACTGGTATCACCAAAATAGTATAAATAAAAATAAATAATTGGTTGATTGTAGAACTACTTAACCCAACTTTATACCCGCGCTAATATGGAAACACACATATCAAAATAATTAGCCCATTTATAGCAACTTTCGAACTCTCGTATTTTATTTTTGTCTAAGTAGGAAGTACTTAAAAAATTTAAATTATCACTTTAACTTTGAATAAAAAAATATTTTTATGAATGCGTCTACAGATTCTTCTACCATTCACAGTCTAATTTTGTACTAACTTCATACAAAATGTTTCGTATTATGGAAAAAATCTGAATATTTACACTTGGGGGTGTGCCTGAATATATAACACCGAATATTGATTCACATGAATTTTACTGCCTGGATTTGACCAAATTTTGGGTTTCCCATTTTAGATTTATTCATGTACCTTATACTTTAATGTATGTTAGCACATGAGTCCGAAAGTCATTCGTCATGTAATTATGAGGCCAAAAGTTTCTATGGATGAAAGCCATTATTTGATTTAAAGTAACTTTTGGCATCACAATCTTTAGATTTTTTTAATAGTTACTTCACAATTAATAATACAATTATGACTTTTTCTTGTAGGTTTATTTCTCTTATTTGTTATTAAAATAACTGCTGTTAAGTTAATTTTAGCTTGGGTTGTAAGTTTGAAAGTTGTTTTCT